GGAGTAGAAGACGCAGTCTTTCTCCCAAGGAGCAGTTGGTGGTTGCGAACTGCTGACCTTCGGGTCACAGCCTGACTTGTAACCAGGACGTGACCAGGACTCCTTGGGAGGGTCCTGAGGGTCGAAAATGAAGAACACCTGACAACAACTAAGTTCCTGGTGGCTGGGCTGCACCTACCCAGCAGTGCCAGAGAAGAGAGGCCAGGCTATCTCCAGGAACAGAGAGCCACCCAGAAAACCCTCTAGGGCAGTTCTACTCAGCCCCTTGGGGCTGCGATGCACAGATACGGACTCAACAGCACCTAACTCCAACACCGACTCCATTGAAGGAGGATGGGGGTTTCATCCACCCAGTGAGACCACGACAGAAAGGACTGGTGATCTGCTGTCTGTGAAGATCCCAGTCAGGAAAACCCTCCTTTACTCATGAGTTGGAATGGCCTGCAAGGCCTAGCCAGGCTTTCTCCTACAGATTAGGCCACAGGCGGCTAAGAGGAGGGCGGGAGGAGTGGGCGGCTCAGGGTAAGGAAGCTGTGGGGGCGGGGGAGACAAGAGCCTGACATGTGGGGACACAGTCTGAGTCAGCATCTCAGGCAGCTCAATTTCTCTTATGACTCACTGTCTCTAATTAGGACTTGTCTCTACTTGGGGGAGGGAAAAAATCATACAAACCAAAGCTTAAAAATGCAAAGGAATATATAGAGCGAGAAAGAAAGAGAGGGAACTGTGGTCATTGCTCTGTGATTGACAAATGCAACATGACTCATGCTCCTTACTCTCTTCAGCTTAGACTAGAGAGCACTGAGGCTGGTGCAAGGGCCTAGGCAGGGTACACCTGGTGTCACAGCCGTGAGGATTCCCCACTTCTGCCCCTCTCCACACACACGCAAGCTGTTGTTCAACCTCCAAGATTCTGAATCAAGAGACATGGGACAGTGGTCTAGCTTCTGGCAGGTCAAGTGTTTGTCCACAGAAGGAATTCCTGTTTCCAAAGCAGGTAGGTTGCAGACCTGTAGTCTTCCCAGGTCTCCATGTCCCTTTGGAAGTTGTAGTCCACAACAACGCACGACTCAGGAAATCATTAGACTTCCTTGATCTCCAATAGAAAACCTCCCGCCCCCATCTCTGCTGGCCACGCCACCCCCCCACCCCCAACCCATACACACACAAGCATAGCATCCCACATGTACCTTAATGCCTTTGGTGTCTTCTTCATCGAATGAGCCGATGTCGAAGGCGTCGGCGGCATTGACTTCTCCTCGGGGTGGGATCAGGGGTGGAGGGTACTGGGAGGACCGAAAAATAAAAGTATGGTTTTCTGCTGTCCCTTGGAGCCCTGCTCTATAATGTTTGCAGCACATAATGTCAGATAGTAAAAGGCCACACCCGGTAGCTTTTGCAACGCTCCCACTGAGTCCATGCTAACTCACAGCGACCCCCGCTCCCTGTGGATTTCCAAGATGGTCACTGTTTATGGGAGTAAAAAGCCCAGTCTTTCTCCCTCAGAGCTTCGGAGCTGCTCGTGGCTTCCAATTGTGGACCACGTGTATCGTAGCCCAACTCATAACCACTACAGCACCAGTGCTAGAAAACTGTACCTTTATGACCCAAGGCCTCTTAGATTTGCACAACATCCTGTGGCAAATATAGTCACGAGTATGGAGAGGAGTGTCCAAGACAATGAGCGGAGACCGAGGACAGTCTCAGTCCCACGCAAGGGTCAGTCCGAAAGCATTGCTACTAGGGTTCCCGCCCACACCTGTGTGGGTTGACCGCACACAAGATGTGTTGAAACACGTCTCGGGGACCAGTGGGCGGCTTCAGACTAGTTCTCTCAGGAATGCACTTGTCTGAGTCTCGGGAGTCTTGGTCGGTGCCTTCCAAAAAGAGATCCAATCAAAACAGCAGCTTCCATGGGACTCTGTGAGGTCAGTTCAAGGCCGAGAGGTCAACTCACAAAGTGCTGGCCACTGTTTTTGGGGAGATGCCAAGGAGGTGACCTTGAAGGACACAGAGTGATCACCGGGCTTACCAGGAAGGCCTTGAGCAAATGAAAATTACATTCCTGAGAGAAAGACCAGCAAGTTGTACTAAGAAATTCCTTTTCCTCATCACAACACTATGTCTACTACTTCTTCGAAGGCTGTCCTAGGAGGGTCTCACTGGGAAAGCTTACCCATCCACCCTCAGCCCAGGGCTTGGCCCTCTCGACTTCTATTTGTTCCCTAGACTCAAAGAACATTGAAGAGGAATGTAGTTTGAGTCCCTGGAGGATACCAAAACCTCGTCTATCAGAGAACTCAGAATGCTTCAGGGAAGGGCTGGAGAGCTGGAAACACTGCCTTCAGGCATAGACCTAAGTGGTGTCCAGAAACAGGAGTTTCTCAGGTGATAGTGATATTTCCAAACAGCTTCTAGGCCCTTCAGCCATCTTTTCTGCCTTATCCTCAGAAGGAGACTTGAATTAGCTAGCTACAACTCTGCATTTGCACACATGCATGTCTGTAGAAGGCATTTGCAAGAGATCTCCACTGGAAAAAAGATATCTCCCCAGAGGGTGGTGAGCAGACAGTGGCAGCTGTGCGGAAGGGACCAAGGACTCTAGGGGATCAGAGAGAGAGAGAGAGAGAGAGAGAGAGACAGGTGCTCTGAGACCCAGAGAAGGGGGTCTGGGTGGAGAGTACCTTTTGTAAGTAGACATGCTGCCAGTCAACGCCTTGAAAAAAGCAATGCTCTTTCACTTCCTGTGCTCTGTGGGCGAGAGAAAGAAGAGTCAATGTGCATTTGTAAATACTAACAACGCTGGCAAGAACTGTTGGTGTTAAAAACACAGAACGGTGACCTGCCCCACTGAGCCAATCCCGACCCACAGCGATCCTGTAGGACAGAGTAGAGCTGCTCCCGGGTCCAGCTGTGCCCCAGAGAGCTGACCGTGCCTAGTTTTCCAGAGGTAGATCTTCAGGCTACTGAGTAGGACTTAGCAATCATCCCTTGGGTTAGGTGCCCAGTGCTCAGGGACTCCACTTCTATGAAACTTAGAGTCAAAAATTAGTTCTTAGGAGAAGCAAGCCTGGCGTAGGAAAAAAGACGGAGCACCTGTTAACGAGCTCTGTTCTAAGAAGCAGTCCCAGTAAAAGTGGACTTTGAGGGTTGTTGCCACGATTGTTGGGTGCGGCGGTGTTAACTTAGACACTCAGCAACCCTGTGAGGCAGGGTGGAATGGTCCCAAAGAGTTGACTGGACGAGATGGGTTGACACAGTGGCTGTGACAATGGGCTCAGGCATAGGTGCAATTGTGAGGATGGTGCATTCTGGGCAGTGCTTTGTTCTGCAGGGCATAGGTAGAGTCGCCATGGGTCGGAATCAACCGGCTGGCACCTCACAACAAATAACAATCCTTCGAGAAGCACCTCTCCTGTTCTTTTCTCCACTGGAGCCACCAGGTGGGTTAGAACCACCAACCTTCTGGTTCACTGCTGCGCCACCAGGGCTCTGCGGTCCACACCAGAAACAGTCAAAATTACATTTGGAATCAAGACCAAAAAAACGTGACCAAAGGGACTTGGGAAATCCCTGGATCTGGCTCAGTCCCTGACAAGGTAGTTTTTTATTTTGTTTGTTTTTAAGGGGAGCAAGTGAGAAACATCTATAACTTACCAATTACAAAACCGATAGGACAATATTAATATACAGACATATATTTTTTTGGGGGGGGTTTCACACAACTCCTCCCCCACCCTCTTCATAGAAAAATGAAGATTTCCAAAGACCGAGGAATGAGTTTTGGAAACAAACAAACACAACAACCCACAGCCATCAAGTCACATTCTGACTCATAGCGACCGGAGGACAGAGAGCTGGCCCTCTGGTTTTCCCAGGCTGTCAGTCTTGATGAGAGCTGATAGTCTCCTCTTTCTCCCATGGAGCACCTGGTGGGTTTGAACCACAGACCTTGAGGTGGCCAATCAGATTCATACCCAACAGTGTCAACCAAAGAAGGATTCTTCTTTTAGGGTCAGGGTCCCAAAAGGTAGACAGGCTAGCCTACCCATCCCCGTGGCAGCCAAGTCGCTTGCTAACATCTCGCTGAAGCAAGGCTTCCAAGAGGGACGTTAATTCAGGGGAGAAGGTATCCGGAAGTTCCACATTCTAGGGGGAAGAGGAGAAGAAAATAACAACTCAGGGGTCGACTCCTGGAAACAGCTGCTTCACACCCAACAGGAGATTTAAAAGGCCTTCCTTGGAGAAGCGAAGTATGGATAGGACCGTCAAGCCAGACCACTAGTCACGTTCTGAATTGACCAAAAGCCCAGGGGGGCTGGGTGCCTACTCTTCCCCATCTCTCCACTTCTGTCTCTCTCTCTCTGTCTGTCTCATGCTGTTGGGGCTAAAGCCTGCCTTTCAATCTGCACATCTAATTCATGTTTCTCTTAGGGGTGCTTCTAAGAACTACATCTTCATGTTTATTGCAAAAAAAAAAAAACCCACCCAAACAAACAAACCCGTTTTTCCCACAAAACTCTGAGCCCCCTGCCATCAAACAGATTCTGACTCACGGGGTCTATGGGGCAGGGAAGGACTGCTTCCGGGGGGTTCCGGGGCTATCTTTACACGAGTGGACACAGCCTCGACTTGCTAGCTCAGATGGCTAGGGATTTCCAGCTGTCAACTGGCTTCTCCTTGGGCAGCCCACATGCTTCATGCCTTGTACCACCAGGGCCCCCATAGAAAGAAACACAATGTGGCTGTCCCCTCATAAGAAGAACGTCATTGTAAATTCCCTTACCACGGTGAGGGTCATTCGGTCTATTTCATGCTTATCTTTGGTTTTGTGTTGTCTGAAAGGGCTGTGTCTGTAGAAATAAAGAACATTCCATTAAGACGTGACACCGGACCAGTGGCTAGCACTGGGGGGAAGTCATCTGCTCCATCGCTGTTCATCTGAGACTACAGAGATACAGAAGCCACAGAAACACTCACCGTGCCCAGAGAACAAATGAGGGACCCAAGACTCATGTAGGAAGCTAAGGCAAAGAGTCTTGCTACAGAATCGTAGAACGCCTGCATGAAAGCAAGATCCCAAACAAGATCCCAAACGGTGAAGTTAGTGTTTCTCAGGGTATCCTCCATCCAGGACGATACACTTTGGCAGGTGGTGTTTCCACCTCTCTACCCCAACCCCAAGTGTGCTTCCACGGATATCACACCAACTCAGAACTCCAACCTCACTGCCGGTGACTCTACAGGGGAGGGAAGAACCGCCCCTGTGGATTTCTTAGACGAGCTCCTTACGGGAGCAGAGAATCTCATCTTTCTCCTGAGAAGCAGCTGGTGGCTTCGAAATTCTGAAATGAAAATAAGGCCTGTGGGCCAACTGGCTCAGAAGCAACAAAGCCCGCATGGAAGAAGCATACCAGCCTGTGTGACCACCAGCTGTCGAAGGGATCAGGTATCAAGCATCAAGGAACAACAAATATCATTGCAAAGGTGGGTGAATGCAGAGTGGAGACTCAAAGCCCATCGGTAGGCAACTGGACAGCCCTCGCTGAAGGGTTGAGGGGAGGAGACGAGCCAATCAGGGTGCAGGGTAGCAACGATGAAACATAACTTTCCTCTAGTTCTTAAATGCTTCCTTCCCCCCACTATCATGATCCCAATTCTACCTTACAAATCTGGCTAGACCAGAGGATGTACATTGGTACAGATAGGAACTGGAAACACGGGGAATCCAGGACAGATGACTCCTTCAGAACCAGTGGTGAGAGGGGTGCGGCCTGGAGGGTGAAGGGAATGTTGGGTAGAAGGGGGGAACCGATTACAAGAATCTAAGTATAGCCTCCTCCCTGGGGGAGGGGCAGCAGAGAAGAGGGCTGGGGGAGATGTTGGAGAGTGTAACTTATGACAAAACTATAATAAGTTATGAATTATGAAGGGTTCATGAGGGAGAGGGGAGCGGGGAGGGAGGGGGGAAATGAGCAAGTGATATTAAGGGCTAAAGTGGAAGGCAAACGTTTTGAGAATGATGAGGGCAACAAATGTATATATGTGCTTGACACAATGGATTATGAGGAGAATTGTACGAGCCCCCAATACATTTTTTTTAAAAAAAGAGATAAATAATATTGTTTGTGTTTGTTGGCAAAATGAATTAAAGAAGTGACTAATTGTTTTCATTAGCCTGTTAAAAATGGGCTTCCTGTTTAAAAAAAGAAAAGAAGCCCTGTGGTCAGGCCACCTTGTGTCTATGTAACTGATCGTCTCAGAAAATGATGAGCATCACCTGTGGGTGCTGGGCTCCCTTCCAAAACCACCGAGGTAAGACCAAAAGGGTTGCTGATGCCTCTGAAACCAAGGTGAGCGTGTACAGAGGCAGGGAGAATAGATGACTGGAAACAGAACCACCAGAGGGTACATGAGGAGCACGGAGTCCGTGTTCCCCAACAACTTGTGTAGAAATTGCTGGGTGGTAACCTACGCTGCCATGGCAACCTACGCCGGAAATGTGAGCATATAGCTTGTTAAAAGCAAAGAACTCTGTCTTGTTCCTGTTTCAACCACCATTAACTTTCAGACCATTTTGTATTGTTGTGTACAACCAACCCCTGGAATGGCAACCAAACCCAGAGCACCTAAACCAATCATTTTAAAATCAGAACTTGGTCATTCCCAAGGACACATTCCTTTGAAGAGGGCAGAGGTGACAAGTCTTATGCTACCAGGCCCTCCAGCATGCCAAGTGGAGCTTTTGCATCTTCGCCCAGTGATGAGTCCCAGAGCTGGGTCAGCTAGGGCCCAGTTTAAGTGAGGCAGTTGTTGGAACCTTCCTTATCAACTTCCTCTGAGTCCCAACTCAAGACAACCAAGGTCACTGCCAACCAAGGTCACTAACTCATAACAACCCTATAGGACAGGGTAGAATTGTCTCTGGGGGCTTCTGAGATGCTACCTCTTTAAAGGAGCAGAGAGTCTTGTCTTTCTCTGGCACAGCGGCTGGGGGTCTCAAACTGTTGACCTGTGGTTAGCGACCCAACACATAACCCACTACACCTCCAGACCGTCTCTTCAGAGTCCTTCCTCGCTGACTTACTGCCGTGGAGTCAAGGCTGTCTCAGAGCAACCCCCATTTGGGGTCCTGATACTGTAACTGTTTACAGGAGCAGAAAGCCCAGTCTTTTTCCCATGGAGCTGCTGGGGGTTTCGAACCACTGACCATGTAGATCTCAGCCCATGTAACCACTACTTCTGGCTGCTGAGGACAAGGATGAAGGTTTGAATCCACTCAGAGGCATGTCAGAAGAAAAGCCTGTGACTTGCTCTTAACCACTTAGCCACTGGGAGCCTGTGGGAACACACGCCCACACGGACTCGTGCGGGCCTGCCAGGCGTTGGCATGGACCCCACAGCAACGCTTCTGATTTTCATCAGCCTCCTCCTCGATACAGCAGGGCCCTATGGACAGACGTGAAAACGAAGGAAGAGACACACGGCGTTGAGTGTTCTCCCAGAATACGGGGAGTCCCTGGAAAAGGGACTCCCCTATCAGCTGACTGTGAGGCACGGCCGACACCTGAGGTCGAGCACTTGGGGAGACTCAGCGCTCCTCGTGCGTGCAGTGGGGAGGGATGTGGAGTGACCTACACTTTCACCCAGATTCAAGTTGGCATAAAACCCAACTGCCACCATCAAAGATCTATGTTCTGCTATGTCCATAATAGACATTTTTGCTGTTCAAAGACAGAAACCTTTGCCCTTATGATCCTTTTTTTTCGGAATTAGGAAAAACAATTGTTTACTACAGGTTTACAAATGCTCTCTTATCTTACCTGCAAATTTTTTTTTCCCTTTTCCCTTTTTTTCACAGACCCCAAAAGAAGAGACCAATCCCTGGAGAGAGCCATCAAGCTTGGTGAAGTGGCGGGATGGTGAAAAAGAGGAAGGGTCTCAGCAAGAAGGACTGACACAGTGGTTCAGACATACATCGATGGTGAGACCTACAACGTCTGTTTTACACGGGGTCACAATGGGGCGGAACTGCCTTGGAGGCACCTAACAATAGCTACGAGGGTGTGGCAGTCACATCGTCTGGTGTCAATTTGAGACTATTAAGAGTGAAGGGGTAGAGTTGAGCCTGTCCATCAGGTCACAGCTAGATGACTTCATTTGGAGGCACTACCGAGAGCAATAGGTCACTGGAGGTGGAACACATAGACTCTCTGCTCGGTAGAGCCCTGGCGCCAGAGGAGCCATGTGGAGACAATGCCAGCACTGAGATGCTTACATCGCCACAAGATGTTCCACCCGCTAGCCTGTGATCTTCCTGCATTCGGCTTCATTGCATGTGTTTCTGAGTCTGAAGAGGACTTTACAGATTGGTATCAGACATGAGGTAATATCAGACTTAGGGACTTGATCTGGACTGGGCTGGGATGTCTTCTCAATATTCAGTTGCTCTTGTCTATAAGGCGCTTTCTTAGACTCAGATGAGTGTCTCTGGACCTGTTTCTCTAGTCAGCCTAGACTAACACAGATGGTATCAAGTAGAAATGCCATTTCGGGTACTGGGCGTACGAAGACTGTTTAAAACTCAAACAGTAAACATAAAGCCACTGTCACTGTCACATAGACCCTGACCCACAGAGTCCCCGAGACTGTCCATCTGTATGAAAGCAGACTGCCTCCCTCTCCGTCCCTGGTGAGACTGGTGCCTTCCCGCCACTTTTTGGTTAGCAGCAGAACACTTAACCACTGTACCACCAGGGATCCTTATGCATGCTTGTTACAGTATCACATATAAATCATAGATCAAAAAGTGGAAGGAAAAAACCAACAAGGCAAGTTAGCTAGCACAACATTAATTAATTCATCCTTTAGATTTGGATTGAAAATACCCCTTTCATCTTGCTTCCAAGGAGAAAATGTACAATGACTGCATTTTAAAAACAGTTCAGCAGACTAGTCCCCAGCTGACTCTGACTCATGGCAAGCCTAGAGGGCAGAGAACGCCCCTGTCGCGTTTTTGAGGCGGTCAATCTTCACAGAAGCGGACAACCTCATATCTCTCGCCAAGCAGCTGGTGGGTTCAAACTGGTGATTCTTGGTTCACTCACAGCAACACCTCATCCCCCAGAAAAACTCAAAAGCATCTTCTTAAAAGGTGAGTTGGATCTAGATAAGCATTCGGCAACATATTGAGGGAACGTCTACAATACCTGATAACACCTCCTGTACTTTGCACCATTCTCCTTTATGCACAATACACATATAAAGAATTGTGCATGCTTACAGCTCGTGGTGGGGGGTGGGGAGATAAGTCACATCTCATTACAACCGTCAGTTTCTCTCTCCTTAACACTTAGCTGCCCCTCGCGTCATCTCCACCCCACCCCTCGCAATGATCCTTAATGTGACTCAGCTACTATTAAGTCAATTCCAGCGTCCGACAACCACACACATGTCGGGGATGTGTTCCCAACGGGTTCTGATGGTGAATTTTTTCTTTCTAAACATAGACCGTCAGGCCTTTCTTCTGAGGGACCTTTGAGGTGGATGGAACGGCCCAACTTGGAGTCTCCTGGACATGAACAAGAGAGGATGAAGGGAAGAGTCCTTCTGACGTGGATCCAGGTGCAGAGGTGACAAAGCCCAAGCCTGTTCTTGATGTCTGGCCACTTGGTCCAGTTGATGCCAGACAAAGGACTGGCCTGACCCCTCTGGCAAGGTTATCTGTGTTTGGACAGAAATGTCAGGTGCTAAAAATTTTTAAGTCTTTCATAAGACCCAGAGGGCAGGCTGGCATGGGGGCCAGTGTTAGAACCAGTGGTAGCCCAAACACTCCCAGTAAGTGGGTCCTCTT